GTTTACTTTTAAACAAGTTCTGAAATATTTTTAAATTCTTGAGATAAAGAAATGTTTATGCATTAAATATTTTTAAACTAGGAAAAACATTTGCAGCACATATGACAATGAATTCTTAATACTAAATAGCTCCTATAAATCAGTAAGAAGAGACCAGCAGAAAAAAAAACAGACCAACAGAAAAAAAAAAGGCTATGTATATTTGTTATATATATGGCTATATATATGGCATATATGTATAAATGAATCACTATGCTGTACATCAGAAATTAACACAACATTGTAAATTGACTATACTTCAATTAAAAAAAGAAACAAATGGCCAAAGTCAAAAAGGGAAAAACAAGCAGCTAGTGAACATGTGAAAATATTTTAAAGTCATTAGTAACGTCAAAATGAACATCAAAACAACAATACAACATATTTTTTTAACTTATCAAATAGGCAAATACTTTTCTAGAGGGAGCGTCAAAGCAGCTTTTCTGGTGAGTGAATATGGCAAGATCTATCAAACCCTAAAAAAAAGTTCTTTGTCCTCCATTTTTTTATTTATTGCATTGTACTCTAAGCAACTATTTTTTTAAATCCATCAAAATATGTCTATGAAGATATTCATTTCACTGTTTACCATAGCAAAAGGAGATTTTTTACAAAACTGTTCATCAGGGCGTGATTGAGATAATTTGGCTATAGTACCCCTAGGTAGCTATTTAAAACCATGATATAGAAGAATCTCTAATGATATGGAAAGACAGTAAACATAAAAACAGTTGCATAAGAGCATATGCATGTGGTGTTTTCTCTCTTTATGCCCCAGCAGGTCCAGTCTCTACTTTTCCATCTGTGTGCTCTGTCTCAGGGACCTGACCCATAGGAGCTGGCCCCTGGTTTCCATTTGGGTTTGGCCAGTGGAAGTCATGGGCAGAACTGAGGATGGCAGGAGAAAGAGGTCAGGGTATTTCTTCTCTGCTCCCTCCCTGCCTCCATCTGAAACACTGCTTCTGTGAAACAGCCTCCCCTCTTTGGCTCCCTTTCTCCTTCAGGTCTAGGGAGGATAATGACTCCCCACTGTGGGAAGTACTCACTACCTCTCCATATGTCACTGATTTTCCTAACCCTGCCCACGGTTCTCTTCCCAGCTAAGTACCCTCTATTTGCTGCTAGAACTCTGACTGACAAAAGATACTATAATCCAGTTTTGTAAACATTTACATATTAGTTATCTATTGCTGCGTAACAAACTACGCCAACACTTAACAGCTTCAAACAAAAAACATTTGCTATCTCAGAGTTTCTGCAGGTCTGAAATTCTGGAATTGGCCTAGCAAGGCATGACTGCCTCAAAATCTCTTAAGAGACTGCAATCATGCCGTCAGCCAGGACTGCAATTCCATTCGATGGCCTGAATGGAGATCCACTTCCAAGCTCACTCACATGGTTGTTGGCGGGATTCAGTTCTGCACAGGGTTTTGGAGTGAGGGGCTCGATTCCTCAATGTCTGTTGACTGAAGGCCTCCCTCAGTTCCTTGCCACATGGAACTCTCCACACGGGAGCTTGCAACATGGTCCCTGGCTTCCATCAGAGTGAGAGAGAATACTGAAGATGAAGGCACAATCTTTTGTAACTTAATCACACCCAGTGGGAGGCGATTACACAAGGGCATGAATACAAGGCAGCAGGAATGAACGGGGACAATCTTACAGGTAATTTAAAACTTAACGATGCAGAGAAAAAAACATCTATATGACGACTGGTTATATTTGGATGCCTTAAAAAAGATCTTTTTGTTTTCTTCTTACATTACTGGCCATTTCTAAAGAATAAAAACTACTTCTGCAACTATTACCATCATATATTGTTGCTGACCTATCTTGAGCTGACAGCCACTCACATGATATTGCTTATTGCTTAATTTCTTAGCCTTTCCTCTGAGCAAGCTGATATAAACCTGCCTGATTTTATGAAGCATGAATCAGTTATCTTCCATAATTGGATTTTGTTCAATATTTGACCCAAGATGAAGTTCTGGCTAGGTTTCCAAAACATATATAGGTGGAGGGTATTGCTCAGTGGTAGCGTGCATGCTTAGCAGGCACAAGGTCCTGGGTTCAATCTCCAGTACCTCCACTAAAAAATAAAATAAAAAATTAATTAAAAATATATAAAGAAACCTAATTACCTCCTCCCCCCCAAAATATGTATAAACATAATCAGGATGAAATTTGCTCGGCTCATTTTTACATTCTCTGACAAAGACCCCTACTCCATTGGACGTGGAAAAGCCTTGTGCCTTGTGCGTTTACTGCCCATCAGATTGGCAAGCCTGTCACACTGAAATGTAACACAGAAGTGACCTTGCTGTAATCGCTCCCCTCTGTCGAAGTGGCAACTGGTCATTATGGGTCAACTTTGTGACACTTACCTGACACACATGACGACAGCAAACAATTCTTCTCAGCCATCGACTATTGTTATACTCAAGGGCAAATCAAGCTGTTTTTTTCTCTGCAGTAAGGAAATAATGGGAGAATATAAGTGGAGTTCATGATCTTCCCATTATAGGAATTTTAAACAAAAATGTCCACTAGGAAACCACAGTCTTCTGGCTAATCACAAGTAAGAACTTTATCATTCTTTAAATTAACTCCATCAACAAGTGCTAAGCACCACCTGTGTCCACAAAGCCTTTTTTCTTTCTAAACCTCTCACCCTGCCAATGTCATTTTTTATCATGGTTCCATGATTGTTACAATCTTCTAGGTTAAGAAACCTGCCTCGTGTCTCAATTTCTCGTTTATTCCTGATACCCAAACCATTACCTAATCCTTCAGACACACTCCTCCTCTGCTTTCTGCAGCACATCTTGGTTTAGGCCTTCAAAAATCACAACTTAATGACTGAACCTGTCATAAAAACCTTCTCCTGACTCCATATTCCCATTTCCAGTTCACCTGGACAGTATTGCATGAGGTTAAAAAAAAAAGAAAGACAGAAAGTAACCATTTTATATCAGGTCCTGTGTAGATGACTGGCCATTTCCCTGTGTACTTTCTCAAATAATCCAAACTGCCACCCCATGACTCAGGATTTATAATCAAGCCTGGACGCCTGGTTTCTGAAAGGAAATCAGTAAAACCTAAAAGGAGATCATTGACACATTGGAAGACAGTATGACAGTGTCTTACAAAGCTAAACATAGTCTTAACATATGATCTGAGAGTCATGCTCCTTGGTATTTACTCAAATTAGTTGAAAACTTATGTCTACACAAAAAAATTGCACATGGGTATTTACAGCTGTTTTATTCATAACTGCAAAAGCTTTGAAGCAATCAAGATATCCTTCAGTAAATGAATGGATAAATAAACTGTGGTACATCCAGACAATGGAATAATATTCAGTGTTAAGAAATGAGCCCTCAAGCCATGAAAAGATGTGGAAGAACCTTAAATGCATATGACTAAGTGAAAGAAGCCAATCTGAAAAGGCTGCAAACTGTGTGATTCCAACTATATGACATTCTGAAAAAGGCAAAACTTGGAGACAGTAAAAAATTCAGTGGTGGCCAGGGGTTGGGGGAGGGAGGGATGAATAGGTGCAACACAGAGAATTTTTAGGGGGGCAAAACTATTCTGTGATGCTATAACAATGGATTTATGTTATTATACATTTGTCAAAACCCATGAAATGAGTGATCTACCTAATGCAAACTATAGATTTTGGATGATAATGATGTTTCAGTGTAAGTTTATCAACTGTAGCAAATGTACCACTCTGGTGGGGGGTGTTGATAGCGGGGGAGGCTATGGGGTGGGGTGGAGGGGAACAAGGGAGTATACGGAAACCCTCCACGGAGTACTCCAAATTGAGTACTTTCTGCTCAATTTTGCTGTGAATCTAAAACTGCTCTAAAGGATAAATTCTATTATAATAATGAAAAAAGGAAGTCATTGTACTATACCCTGAGATTCCCAATGATTACACACTTCAGTTTTTTTCTACAGGGGTAGGGGCCAAAGGACGGAGGGAGGAAGGAAAGAAGAGAGATGGAAGGAAGGAAAGGAGGAAGAAAGGAAAGAAGGAAGGAAGTGTGCAAAAAGGAAAAGTAAGAGAACATAAGAAAAGAAAAATATCATGTCTCTGCTCTCTGTTTAAAAAAATACTTTTTCTCCAACCCAAAGGTTCATTGACAGATAAATGGATAAACAGAATGTAGTGTATACATAAAATGGAATATTATTTAGCCTTTAACAGGAAAGCAATTCTGATAAATGCTACAACATAGACAAACCTAGACGACATTGTGCTCAGTGAGATAAGCCAGGTACAAAACGACAACTACTGTAGGATTCTGCTGATAGAGGTACCTAGAATAGTCAAATGGCCAGAGACAGAAAGTAGAAGTGTGGTTGTCAGGAGCTGGAGGAGGGGAAATGCTTAGTGTTTGATGGATAGGGAATTCCAGTTGGGGAAGAAGAAAAAGTTCCAGGAATGGATGGTACTAATGGTTGCACAGTGTGAATGTGCTTAACATCACTGGACTGTACACTTAACATGGTTAAAATGGTCATTTTTTAAATTTGTATGTATATTTTACCAGCTAAACAAAGATTTTTTTTTCATAGGAGGTGGAACACATTGAACATGTTTCATTTCAAAGATGAAATGTTTCTCAACCTCTCCCAAAACGCTGATGCACGATATTCCTTAATCAAGCAGCAATCAGAGTTCTCCCGACTCCTTCAATGCCATTTTGCTTCCTAAGTCTGAGTGATTGAAGGGAAGGTGGGCAGGGGAAGCTCTAGTACATGCCACAGGGCCCCAGATAATTCACCAATTTGGAAAATGTTTCAAGAATGAAAGATACAGCTTTGAATTTCCATTCACCAACTCCCTCATCATGAGGTGCCTCTCCCGGATTTGTTCATTTTATACCTTCATCATGGCCAACCTTCCACAAAACTCTCTGGCACTGTGGTCTTTTTATGTATGACCTTCCATCAAACAAACAGCAGTCCTTCATTCAAAAGGGCACAACCCCTTATTCCTCTGAGCTACCAGCATGGGTCCTAAATAAACACTGTAGGCTTCCTGTTACAGGCTGAAAGTTAATCGTCTCCATCTGTCCCCAGGTGAACCCCTTAGGGTTCAGAAGAATCACTTGAATAAGATGAGCTTTATCTTTGCTCATTTCTCAGGTTTAATGCTGCTGATGTTGCAAAACAGCTGCCATTCCCCCAGATAGTTACCAGAGAACACATCACCCCCTCTAGGGTGATGTGTCACTCGAGTGCAGTCCCACATCTTCTGTTAAGTTTCAGTTTTGTTCCTTTTGCAGATTTTCTTTCTCAACAGACATTTTATATTTTTTACCTGACTATTGCTTCAGCTTCATGGCCTGCCAGTCACCTTTCTCTGCCCTTGGGCCCCCAGGTGGGTTGGTCTTCTCCATACCTGCTGTCTCAGGGCGTGGGCGCAGGCCACACCCCCACTTCCACATCTCTCCTTCTTGCTTGACCTCCGCTGACAGCTCCGCTTAATGTGGCTTCCTCGGTGGGTGTCTTCTCCTTCATGTCACCCTACTCCCACCATATTTCTTCCCCAGCACTTAATATAATGTATAATTCTCTGTTTGTGTGCTTATTTGTTTAACATCCCTCTCCACCACTAGACTATAAAATCCATGAAGGCAAGGACAGTACCCATCAAGCTCACCACTGTACCCAGTGCTAGATACAAAGTAGGAGTTCAACCATGGAATGAAGAAAAGCAGAGAAAGGAGAGAGGAAGGGAGGAAGGAAATGAAGGAGACATACATAGTTGCACCTTCACTCCTGTAATAAAGCCGATGTGCACGGGGAAGGTTCATTAGGCATTCGAGACACCTGGAGACCAATACTAGAGGGTTTGTAATGCTATGGAAACCTTCAGGGTGTCTTTTCCTCAGAAAATTATTGCACTTCTATTTTTGAGAGTGGAAAACAAAGGATGTCAATTCGCAGCATATGTTCCTAGCAAAAGAGCCTGTGGAATCCATATAGCAATCCCCAGCCTAATTCCCCCGGCCCCCACCCCTCCCAGAGTTCACTGCAATCGCCCTGCCATCATAGTCACTTCAAGAAGTGAGCTCTCTCAGAAGCACAGCTGAATCCAACCAGGGCAATGAGAAATCAGTTCTGTGAGCCAGTTGGCAATACGTTGGCCATTTCACAAAAGCAGGTAATTATCTCTCTTTTTCAAAGTCATTGTGATGATTAGTGAAACTCTATGTTGCTTACAGATAGGAAATGAGAAGATCAAAGAAGAATCTAGGTTTTTATCGTAGTAAATCTGGAGAAAGAATAGTTAAAAATAAGTTTCAACAAGGAGAGCATACAGTTAACCAATCCCTCAGAAACAGAGTCATTTTTCTAGTGTTCTGTTTATAAAGTCTTTTCCTGTGCAATATGTGGTTTACTCTAAGTATTCAGAGACTACTGTCCTTACACAAGTACATTTACTTCATGCGTGCATATAGTGAATTTTTAATTCATTAAAAATAGGCAGAACTAGTGTAGTGCTGATAAACTGTTTCAACAACTGATCAATAGCAATAGTAGATCGTCTGTGATGCTGACTTTCCCACCTGTGTTTCTCCTCAGTTTCTAAAATACTCCTTAAGAGAAAGCTTATAGGGACAAGACAATTGGGACAGAACTTACGATCAAGATTTAAAATTAAGGCAAGAAATACATTCCTAAAATACATATGGTATGCCTATTTTCTTTCCCAAATGAGACTCATTTGTAATTTTTTTTAAAAACCTTGGTTTTAACCATGCAGTTGTTTATATGAAAGTTTATAGCATTTGTCAGTTGCTTGGGGTAGAGGTATGGAGATGAGGGCCATTGTTTTACAGGCACTGTGTTCTTAATCATCAAAGAATCATGCAGAATATTGCAAATAAATCATGTGGAATATCGCATCGGGCCCTGGGCTGAACCATGATCTGCCTTTGAAATAAATTCGGGGTCTGCCTCCATGTAGTTCTGTCTCAATGGAAATGATAAACTGATACATTAATTGTGGAAGGCTGTATCTGCCTCATTTGGTGTAAAACCTCTAATTGCTGGGACCACAGTAGACCAGAAGGGTCTAAAGGATTGGTAGGAAACTGAGGCTGCGAACTCTCTGAGCTAGTGTGACACACTTATACCTTGTATGCAGGGCGGGGATACCTGTCCTGTGTAGGTGGGGAATGCCAAAGGGCTGGGAATTGAGGTAGCAGTCGGGCCTCCCAGTGAGGTGCAGATGCTGCTCCTGTGGTCTCTATCCATCCAAAAAGCTAAGAAAAGATGGTGTTAGGCAAAGCCCTCTGGATCTCCTGAGTCTGACTGCCATTTAGAATCTATAACTATCCTTAGGCTGATCCAAATATATTAATTGAAGTCCCTTCTATTCTGAAATGTCCTCTGTCTAATGCTTTACTATAATTTATTCACTCTTCTAAAAACAGCATCTACTCT